AGTACCATGCTTGCCTCTAAATGTACTGCTACTCCTCCTCCAAAAGTTAATGTAAAGAAGGCGAGACTGACAAAAGATTTTAAAGAACAAAGGTAAAGGATTTTTACCCTCCATGATCTTTGATTATACCTTGCAGCAGCAACACCTTGTCAGAAGTGTCAGAACTTTCTGAACATGTTTTTGATTTGGACATTTTACATTCTAAAATGCACAATCACTCTGACAACAGCGACATTGCTCCAGAAACTGATTCTCACTCATTGTAAGCCATTCACAATACACTTTGAACACAACTACTTATTCCTTCTTCAGCCTGGAGACTGGAAGTAAGGAACTTATGCCTACTGATCCGTGCGTGATAAGAAGCTTGTTGAGAGTAAAGACATTCCCTCTAAAAAGGTTGACAATCACTCAATGTACATCTCACCCTCTTCTTGGAAAGTTCCTACTGATATTTTCTCAGCACTGAGGATGCCAAACCACGCAATGCAACAGAGTAATCAACAGTGAATCTTGTATGATCTGTTTTTCACTTGTCAACACAAACTGCTTTTCAAAAATATCTTACAGCCGCATTCAACTCTTCCTCAATTATGCCAACAAAGAAACCCATACTTACAGCATTTACACTTTGCCAAACATTGATACCTAGGGTCTCCAAAGACGTAACAAAGATTGGACCTATTACCTTTGCAAAAAAGGAGCCAATAACCCATTCACAATTTGGGTTGCAGGAACAATGTCCAACATTAACTTATACGCCATGGGCCCTCTCGGTCCTCCCCTTCTGCAAGGAAGAATCACATTGGTTCCGTTTGAGCAAGATACATGTGCTAACGCTCACGTGCGGATAAGTGCTTTGCACAATCCACCCCTTGGTCGGTTCTTGTATCCCTTCCCTTTATTTTAAATTCTAACCTCCTCCCCAATCAGAACCCTCTCTATCCTATGCTTGCTTTTGCATCCAATCTACATTAATCCATGGTTCTTCATTAACTCGTGACAATGTACTTGCCAACATTACCCTTTCCCTCTCAAAACTGGAGTTGAAGATCCACATATCCTACTTGAACTTTTGGAGGCTTCGGATTTTGCAGAAGTCATCGACCTTGGTCCTTTTTTTGATCCTAACCTACTAATGATTGGTATTACCAGATATATGGAGAACCCCCATTGTCAGCTTCAGCCAATGATAAAAGGCACAATGACATAGCCAACCCCGTTTTTTCCCATCAACCATCATCATCATCTCTCAGGGGTCCCATCTACGTGATTAAAATGGTCCACTTTCACATTCTTCATGGTTTGACAATCCCAGTTTTACGGCCAAAAGATTGGCACACCATTTGGTGGTACTATAAAAGTGGTACCTCCCCCAATGTTGAAAACCAAAACTGTCTCCTTTTTCACACCCTTTCCAATTTCTAATGTCCCTCAAAACTATTCACATTATCTCAAAAATGGTCCACCTGCAAAAAAGAGTATGTCCGTAACTTCTTCACTTAACTTTGTACACTCATTGCCTTCCAGCAATTTCCTCTTTTTTTTCAAGCTGCTCTATTCTTTCCAGCTTGTTAGAAACCTGTCATCGTCAATGTCCCATCCGACCATGACAACATCATTCTCCATCCAATCTCTGTATCCTATATCTGTTTAGACCTTTATCTTCCTCCCCTCTTTGACACTGCTCTCAACCCTCTGCACCGACAAGGAAACATAGAGATTGACTCTGACAATGACAAATCACATTTTCAAACTACATTTGTCAACAACCATTCATCAACTGGCGACTTGATTTCCACCCATCTCCCACAAGCAACTGACAAAATTCCTATATTGCGTCATACCGTCCATCACTTCCCTTCTTCCTATGCAACTCATTTTTATCTCAAAAACCGATTCACTTTCTTTTATGCAGACCAATTAGCAATTGACAACCGCCTCAAAAAAAACTTGTTGCTGGTTTTCTTGGTCAAACAACTAATAAAACTAAGTGAAACTCAGCTGCCCAAGAGGCTATAGAAACAACTTTATTATTTACCTAAGTGAAACTACAATAGATGTTAGTTTAAGGTAATCTCTAATAAATGTAATGTAACATACCTCAGCCGCTGCCCGAGAGGCTATAGAAATGACTGAGGTACTCCTATACTAAACCCCCTACTACTTATAGTCGGAGGTGCTACTCGCTACAGTATAACGACTCCTAGGAGAACAATGGTTACTCCATGGAGTGGTGGCTATGCTCCATGGAGAACAATGGCTGCTTCGGCAGAGACCGGGTTTATCCGGTTTTGTCAACAACATTTCCCCTTTGCAGATGTTGCCCCCTGGATAGATCCTATTGTAGCCATTAAGCACATGCATTTACAGCCCGACAACGCTAGCCACATTGTAGAACAAGACTTACACCTTCTAAACATACTACTAGCCAGGTTTGTTTAACTTAAGTCATTGTGACGTTTTGCTCAAAAACTTTCTCCAGTTCCATAGTGCACTATGTATTGCCTTGATGTAGACAACATTTGTAGCAATTCTTTTCTCTGCTATATATTTTAATGTGAAGCCTATTCTCCTATTCAAACAATTGTTTCTCCTTCACAACATATTTTGCTAATACTAGTACATGCCCTACTTTGATGCAGCAGTTTCTCTGAATATTAAAATAAGCTTGCCATGCAAGCCACCCTGTTGGCCATGTGTACTCCAAATTTGAGACATCCCCTCGCATACACCTACGCTGAACAGTTCCTATTACTTTCACGATGTTTCCCCCCTTCCAAACTTCCAAAATCAACCACTTTTTCCTGGAAAATTATGCTTTGGTAGCTTGAATCTATTTCAACTCCTTTGGTCAGCATGCCACCTCTTGCAACAAATACATCACTGGACTCTACATATTTTGGATGGGAGAGCCTTCCAAGCAACGCATGCGCTCCTTCAGCAATGGAGTTTCCCCTCGGTTTCACTGCCAAAAATAACTCGCCATTGTGAAATTCAATCCCCTTGATTTGTCCTTCAAGCCACACAGTGACTGGCTTTCCTGTACTACACTCACAAAGTACAGCTGGGATTTCTGCCTGTGTCAACGGTCCTGGTCCCCAAAAGACCTTGTCAGACACTCCGTCAATAGAGTATAACCCTTGTTCTCTACAAAAATTGAGCTCTCTACTGTTAAGGACACTAGCTACTCACTTTTCAGACATTGTTGTGGCATAACGCTTCCTTCCCCATTGTTCAAAATTGTCTTCATTTAATGTCTAAATTCCAATCCATTCATTCTTCTCACATCATCATTTTGATCATCACCAGTGATCACATGACCATCAACTCCCGGTACCAGGGATGCCCGTAGGGCCGTGTATAGTTATTATTGTTCATAAACCTTTTGAGTTTGGCCATCTATGAATCTAGAGTAATTTTAGATTTATCTCTGCCATGTGTCTCAACCACTATAGTGAGCATCATGTCTTGCAAAATGGTTCCTCTGATATCAAAGTCATGCTCAATGTAGCCATAGTATGATAACTCAGCAGAGGGGCAAACCTTCCCTACCTCATAATTGGGATTGTACATGTCTTTGTTTGGGTTTATACTTTCTATAACTCCAAAGAAGAGTCACTATCTAAGGTGATCCTCCAAGTCATCATAAGCAGATAACAACAAACATGTGTCATGCTCTTGCACAAATTGAAATTTCATCCCCACACTTAGGTGTATAGCCAGGTGGGTTGGAATGGTAACATTAGGTCCTAAATGTATAAGGCCACAAAATCAATCTGGCCGCCTTAAAATTTGAGATAGGCACATGGTCTAGGACAATACTAATAGCATTTAGTACTTATATATTTAATCAGAAGTCTGGCCAAGTGTTATAATGATTGTATAAATTTATTATCATCCTACATATAAAAAAACCTGGTACCATCACAAAGTATCACAGGCTTCAACTGACCAAAGTCGCCTGTGAAAATCATATTGATCAAAATGTTTATCACAATTGGGACTGTCATAACTCTTTGCTAACAACATGTGGCAAGATATATCACTGAGAAGTCGGGCGGATACTATCAAAATTTCATCTATTACAAGGTAACACACATTTCTTCAAATATTTTCCAGCTCGCTTTGATTCAGTTTGTTTTTTGACCTAGGTAAAAATGTTAAAGCATGAATGGTGTACCCACCAATTAACACAGTGGCACAGCCTGTAGGTGCACTCAGTAAGATTTTATTTGACAATTTGCAATGGTTGAACAGTTCAACAATGGACTCAATAATGTGACTCTTGCCAGTCCCCCTATCCCTGCAATGTAGAGCAACAATTGATCAGGTTTCCTGTGTAATACATGACCGACTATGCAAAATGCATGTTCTTGTTCTTTGTTGTCATTCAAGCCCATATCACTTACAACAGAATTAAGTAACCTGTCAGGATATTGTCTAACATCACTTTCAGCATAGTTCAAATGGGGAGAATTGTTGTCAGCCAATTCTATCAGTAGTGTGGAAGGATTGAGCCATTGTTGTTTGTGACAATGCTGTAAGGTGGGTTCTACTGAATATACATCTAGTTCTTTATTAAGTGGTCTTTTTCTTTTTTTCATTTCCGCCACAGGTTTGAATTGATATGATGTGAATACTTCCTCCCATGTCTGATGTTCAGCTTTCCAGGTCCAACAGTTTGCTTTATGGTTTGAATAGTATAAGCATTGTGCAACACCAAGCATTATGTTCATCTTGCATTTTATCCAGTCTAGGCATTGCTGTCCCGATTAAAACTGGGACCAGAGTCATCTCAAATTCTCATAAGGTATGTCCTGTGTTGAGGATGATCTATATCTAACTTACCTTGCGGAAGCGCTTTCCTTCCAGGCCGCTGTCTGGCGTGTGAATGAGCCTGTCTTAGGGAGTTGTTCTCCTGTACACTCTGGAGGCGTATATCTTCACAAGCATGAAGGGTTTTTTTGGACAAGTTCTGTGTGGTCCCACAAGCACAATCAATCAAACAGTTGTTCGTGACTCCTATAACAATAGTCCGTAAGTTCACTGGATATTGTCACTTTGTTGGGTTCTACTGACAGGAAGACTTGCTCTCCCTGTAGATCTTCCTTCTGATCACGCCTCACAGAATCAACAACTGCGTCAGTTTTGTCAAAGGCGTGGTAATCCTCATTTTGCAAATTGTTGTTACCAAGAGTAATATCTGGAGTTTCTTCATGAAGTTCCTTTCTCACATAATGTTCAAACTCATACCAGCGCAAAAGTTTGAATGCATAACTTGAACAACAATCTCCTCCCCCCACAGGGTAACTCATTGCTTGTTGGTGGGACAACTCTTGACAAGCCATGATAGCATTCATACTCTTCATGAACAAACTCTTGTTTTTATCAGAGCTAGTGGACGACACGCCCATGTATTTTAAATTATTTTGTTTGATAGCATATTTCAACGTGTCTAACCCCACATGCACAGGTAGAGAACTTTTTGTGATGTAGTCAGTCACATAAAACACAAGTGCTTTGGCAGCCTGACCAGAACCAATATATTTAATATCCATGTTGCATCTTATCAAGAACAACACTAAATCATTAAAGTTGTTTATATGAGGATGTAAACATCTCAGCAGGATCAATTGCGACACAGGGTCAATTTCTGTAAATGATCTAGTCATTCCATTAATCCTCATTCTACAATGTGTGTTGTCTCAAGAATCCCCTGCTTTCAGGTGTTTCCAGCATGTATCAGTATGCTTGTGCCAATTGCAAAGAACAGCTAACTCTTTAACAACTTCCTGGAAATCCTGTTGAAAATCTAGCTCATTCTGGATGTCATCTTCTAAAATTTCGCCTTCTTCAAGACATGGGTCTACAATACCTGTTGGACACGGTGGTTTAGACAATTTTGTTCTATTTGGTCCGTGTAAGACCACTTCTATCCCAGGCAGTTCGCAAGAGACAATAGACTCTAGCCATGCAATGATTTGTTACTTGTAGGTCTCGTCTTTTTGCAATTTATCACGTAATTCTTGCAGGTTGGGATTGCCTTTTAACTAGATCAGCATCTGACAATGAAGGGTGCCACGACCTTGAGCCTCTACCATACCATAGTACACTTCACTGTGACCAAACAATCATATAACAACCAAGAGTTAGTTACTCTGGCACACACAGGAACACACTATAAAGGTAGTGAATGGGGAGTGGTTACCCCTTAGGCTGCAGAGAGTTTGTTGGTTAACAACAGGAGGACTTGCTGAGGAGTCTCCTTGATCTGTGAGTATACTGTACAGTTGATAAAGACAGTGGCTGATGATGTCAGAGGGCGCAGCCCATGTGACCAGCTCCACTGCGTGAGAGAGTTTGAGTCTAAAAGAAGAATAAAGGCAGCGCTGCGCAAGAAGGTGGAGTTAGAACAAAAAAGGAAAGTGCCGCATGGCACGGAGTGTGAACTATAGTAAAAGGTTAAAGCGGAGAATGAAAATTAAAGGAAAGGTCCAAAAATTGTGTTATCGTAACAAATCCAGCCTGACTTTCCATGTTTAAGGATTACATCGATGAAATTGTGCAGCATTGAATCAAGAAATCTAGCCGCAGGTCCAGGGTTACTGGCAACAAATGCCAACCTTTCATATGATGTCATGGCTTTTCAATCATTGGGCACAATGTTTCCAAAAAAGCCGAGCAAAGAATGGTGACATTGTTAGGGTTGATTTTAATGCACAGGGCTGGTGTTCCGTACTTCTTCATCAATGCACATACTTCATTCTGACGACAAAGTTTATACCCTGTGCTGCCTTTCACCTCTTTTGACATCAACTTTAATCGCATAAGCAGTTTTAATGCTTTTTTCTGATGCTTGTTTGATGGCAAGTTGTTGGGATTACTCTCCCATTTTCTAATCAAGTCGGTCAAGGTTGAACTGTACTCAGCGATATCTCTACCAACTCTTTCACAATGCTCAGAACTGACACAGAAAATTGCCTGTTGTGTGACATCACACTTCTGGATAATGTTGAAACAAACATAGGCAAAATTTGGATCTGCCTGAAAAGGCGAGTCATGTTGGAGAAGTAAATTTCGAAGCTGCCTGGCAAATGAAATGTTTTTCCTTTGTCCTGTTAGGTTCAACAAAGCCTCCTATACCCCAAGGATCCAGGTGCAGAAACACTGAAGTGCACATGCCAGGATCATGGTCATTCAAAAATCTGGATCCACTACGCATCTGGAGGAAACACTTGCCATCAAGGCAATGCACAAGTTGGCTTTCATAAGTCAATATGATTCAGGTGAGTAATCTCCTAAGGTATATCCCACTGCTTCTATAAAAATGTCAGAAGAGTTCTCCTCTGGTGGATTGATGTCCATACAATCTGTATAATCTGCTGTTGCGCTGCTGTCATCCCCTCCAGGAGCAAGTGGAAGGACATTGATATTGACAGCAACAGGCATACCGGTCTGTGATATTCCAGGATATACATCCTGTACGTTGTATTCACCCAACTGCACCCCTGCAGTGTGGTACCAAGGATTTTCTTTTATCAAGAAATTAACCATGTCATGTACAGCTTGTTTACCCACAAGAACAGGAAAGAGTCTCCAAATGTTCTCGCGCATCACTTGAGAATCCAAAACAACGAACAAAGCACATATGGACTGCAATATTTTTTCATGTGAAGGTGGTAAAAACTCTCAGAGGCTCATAGAATCTTGGGGTAAAATTGCTGCATTACCTCTAAGGTATCTTTGAGAAAGAGCAATGATACCTCCCCTACTTTGTTTCTCAGATATATGGTCTGGTAAAAGATGAGATAGACATTTTGACGATTGAAACCTGGTAACCTGACGGTACCAGGAATATGGTCATGATCACAGATAACAATCTTGGAATAGCCATTATTGAGAATGACTGGTTCATATACAGATTTCTGTCACTATTACCCAATCCCATTCAATGCACAGTTGTAAGTCAAAATGAGGTATATATGATATTAAACAACCAATATGTACTTGTGCAAGAATGCAGTGGTATGGTTAGCACAAGCCTATATGGAAAACAGCTAAAAAGGTTTCTTTACTTCTCAGAAAACACTAACAGGTGGTATACATAGCATCCCGGAATGATATGGCATCCCAAAGATCCATAAAACACCAACAAAAATGTAACTGATCATCCCCTGCTATAATGTAATTCAGAACCCAGTGACAAAGTGTGTAAGCAAGATGCTTAAACCCTTAATATCTGGATCAGAAACCCTTTTAGTTTTGTCTAAACAAATGGTGATAGCTTGTGACTGTTTAGATACCAGACAAAGATGAGTATATTTAGTGATGGGAAACATAATGTCATACTATCCATTCATTCCAGCAAACAAGCTGAAAAGATTGTATTGGAGATGTTCTTAGAACACTACTTCCACTAGACAGACCTTGGATTACTTGATTGGAGCAAATTACAATTTTATAAATTATTTGAACACTGTCTGCAACTGGCCCATTTGGAATTCTTAACACAGTGTCCTGGAACAATTCACTGAGTGCTTAAAAGCCTAGCAATGGGCATAGCGAGTTACTCTGATTTAGCCATGTAGTCAAAGATTCCGCTAATGCAGATTTAGACAAAATAGTGCAACCTTTTGAAAGCATGGATATTAGCTGGGATTAGACTAAAAAGGATTTATCCCATGTTTTCTTACATCCTTGTGTGTGCTGGTACTGGCTTATTAGCTACGTTTAGGTGCAGAATGCCAGTAGAATTATCCCTGTAAAGGAATAACACACAATCTCAATTGGGTGTTGGATTCTTATAGGATAGATGAAAGATGTAAGACATTATAAGGTAGGCCTTTAAATAGTCCATGGGAATTAATCCCATAATAACCCATAAAAAAAAATTGACACATGTATATTTGATGCTTGCAGTTACACATTATTTTGACTTTCAAAGTTTCAGCATGATTGACCAAGACAACTGGCAGATGATCTCCTGCATTTGAAATGTTATATATTCAGGCAGGATATAGCAATCATACTATCCTGACTGTACATATTTTCAACGCTAATCTATCCTTAAAACAATGAGATAATAAAGTATTGATTAGAAATCTAGCCAACTCAAATTTTATCTAGGCAGCCATTCATGCAATGGCTGATGTAAGAACTAGGCCTCTTATGGACTGGCCATGTAGCAACTCTCAAGGGGGCCCAACACTCACATGTGAAATCTATAAATACTGCATACTCGGACCTGATGAGTGCACTATGCACTCAGGCGAAGGAAAGAGTCAATGAGTTTACACAATGCAAATTTGCTATTTCACCCAACTTAGTAGGGCACTTGACATCCCCACGGATTTCAGGCCATGGGCTAAGTGTGGAATTGACCATCTCAATTACACTTGTGATTGGAGCAACCTCACATCCAAAAATAAATAGTGAGTGTATTCTAATCAACAGTGGTTCCACACCAACTGCTGAGCTAAAATACTCCTTTTAACACTGAGGGCTGTGTGATATTTGTTTTTTAACTGATCTTTCTAGTATCTCATCCTGAAGAGCTTGCTACAGGATTGGGATACATGTTTTTGTTCTGCTGGCTACCAAATGCTCAATGCCAGTCTGGCTCAAAAGTCTTATCTTTCAAAAGACTCCCCTTAACCCTGTGGTCCGGGTTTGCACAATATGCAAGAGAGTAGAAGAGTGAGTCCCAATATTACAACCAAAGTTTGTATACTCTGGTTGTTACGCACAAAGTGCTTAACAAAGTCTGAGGGTTCTTCGAGGTTTGTAAAGAGACTTATCCGAAGACAAGTTCAAGGACGTAGTTCTGAGTGGAGTTCTTCCAACGAGAGTTGGTCTTCTTCTGAGTAGAAGTCTGACCTTAGGAGTCTAGCTTTGTAAGCGTAAACTGCGTAGAATCATATTAGAGAATACTACTGCTGTTATATGGTATTTATAATGGAAAGGAATCGATGATAGGAGTTAGGTCCTATCTAGGGCAGGTCCGTCCGTTGAGGACTAAGTACTATAATAGGTACTGCAAATGTGAGAGGAACGGAAGTGTACATGAAGGAAATGAGTCATTGGTCTGATGGTATAACCAATGAGTAAAAAGAAATGAGTAGTCCTTAAATGTCCAATAGAGATCGTAACACTGGTGCACAATAAAGACAAGCAGAAATAAAAGAAGGCAGCGCAGCGTGAGAAAGTAACAGGGTAAGTGGAGTTTGAAATAATAGGAAAGTGCCGCATGGCACAAGTATTAAAAAGAGAAAAAAAGTTAAAGTGGAGACTGAAAGTTAGAAGTCCAAAAATTGTGTATTGTAACATCTATTTTCTTTCTTTTCTGGAGTTTGTGCTATATGGCACCTTTTATTTGGGGATATTAAGTAAGCTGGACTCATGGTGAAGTCACATGATCAATCACATGAGAGGTCACATGATCACTGACATCACATAGAATATCATAGAACAACAAAAATAAATATATCAACTGTACAGTACCACATGTATCTTAGTGCAGTTAATGGTCTAGATTTAAAGATATGAAGTGGTTGATCATACTGTATATATACCCTTGCAATGGATAGAGACTCCTCAGAGAATCCTCCTATTGTATACCAACAAATAACTTGTTCTTACTATTTGAGTCTACCACCTCTCTCTTCACTCCATTGCTACTTCCTTGAGTTTCAATGTGTGCACCAGAGTTTAAAAACTTTGGGTATTGTTACAATCCCATACTTCCGCCAGAGAAATAAGGATAAATGGAGTTAAGGTATTCAAATGGTTATTATTGTTACAATAACACATTTTTGGATCTTTAATTTTCATTCTCCTCTTTAACCTTTTACGGTAGTTTTTTCACATTGTGCCATGTGGCACTTTCCCTTTTGTTCAAACTCCTCTTTCTCACGCTGCGCTGCCCTTCATCTTATTTTAGCTACAAGTCTCTCACGCAGTGGAGCTGGTCACACGGGCTGCGCCCTCTGACATCATCAGCCACTGCTTTATCAACTGTATAGTACAACATGTACAAACAAACTGTAGTAGTATATATACCTCAATAGATCCAGGAGACTCCTCAGCGAGTCCTCCTGTTGTATCCTCACAACCAACTTGTTGAAGCCTAAAGGGTAACCACTCCCTCATCATTTATCTCTATAGTTGGTTCTAGTTGTGTGCCAGAGTAACAAACTCTTGGTTGTTACATTAGGACTCGCTCTGTTTACTCTCTCGCACATTGTGCAAACCTGGACCCCAGGGTTAAGGGGATAGTGTTATTGTTTAGGGATATCCCATATAGCAGAAGGGTGTGCTCTTTGCAACGGCCCCGTAGTGCTCTGGGAGAAAGGACAATCACATTTATTTTGATACACAGCCCCCAGTGTTAAGGGGAGTACTTTAGCTCAGCAATAGTGTGGAACTATCATTGATTAGAATTTACATACAAAACTTCTTCTTCAAATACCTCTGACCAGGCCGGGCACTTGCCTCCACCAGTTGGAGAAGGGTTGACAGCTTAACAAGCGGACCACCCCCTGACAACCGTTTGGATCAGGGTTTACTACAAATACCTTTTATATACAAATTCAAATACTATAGTGTGGGTAGTCGGAGATTGACATCCGATACTCAGCAGGGAAGAGGTAGATCCGCAGATAGCAAGCGGGGACCCTCTGTTACGTTTTTTTACCTTACATTACAAACAGAACATGTCAACATGTTGTCGCAAAGTAAACAACCTGACGTCAATACTCTGTTGCACAATATGCGTGCACAGATCTTGGCGTTGACCACGCAACTCGCCAAGCTGCAGGCGAACCCAGCCACAGCAACCCCCCCCAGTCGGAAAAAAGTTCACTAAGAAAGTTGAAGTCATCACTGACCCTGGCACCTTCGAAGGAGAAAGATCACAATTTGCCGAATGGTGGATCAAGCTCCAGATTTGGGTCAAAGCAAACTGGGATGTATTTGCCGATGATTTTGAGGTAGCAACCGCAGTGCTATCTCGACTAAAAGGACCTGTGGCGGGTCGATACACCCAAGTAAGACTGCAGGAGTGCTACACAGCGGGAGTGTGGCCCACCTGGGACGATCTCAAAGTAGAAATTGAGAAATAATTCAAACCGCAAGCTGAGTGCGACTGGGTGTGTCAGCAAATCTGTTCCTTCAAACAAGGAAATATGAGGACAGATGATTTTGTAACCCGGTTCCTGGCCCTCTCTATCTGCAGAATATGAGAAGTGACAACCTCTCCCAAGCAGTGGAGGAGGTTCATAAAATAGGTAGGGCCATAAAGCTCTATAAAATGCACCAAGGTGGTGGGTCCACCACCAAAAACAACTATTCCCAGAGGCGCCCTGGGTCATCAAACCAGCATAATCATTCTCACGGGTTCAAGCTATTCGGGCTGCAACAAGGGCAGGGAGCCCCTATGGATATTGGTGCGGTCTAGGGTGGACAGATGCGCAGATTCAAAGGGAACTGCTACAATTGCGGCCAAGAAAGACACATGTCCAAAGACTGTAGAAATGGGGCGCGGGCTACCCAACAACAAAAATAACCAAGGGTGCCAAGCACGCCAATTAGAAACAGAAAAGCCGGACGATCAGCTCAACACTCTGGCTGGTCGTTCATACGACAAAATCCAGGCTTTCTTCTACGACTAGCAGGCCGCTGAGATGAAAGTTCAGGGAAAAGAGTTCGGAGCTTCGGTCACTTGTGTGCCTTCGCTCCTACAAACAATGAAGTAAACCACAACAAGGTGGCCCCTGCTCCAGGGTGTTGCACGAGCAATAAAGGAAAGACGGGGGTGGCTCCCCAATTTGTAAATAGATTTCTTAACTTGTTATCGGAAGTATGTATCTGTATAAAACATTGTGACTGTAGATTTGTCTTGGACCCTCCTGACAATATAGCTGCTTTGAGCACTGAAAAAGTGGGTCAAGATGATGAACGAGTTCACCAGGGTGCTTGATTCTGGTAAAAATAGAAATAAAAATATAGAAAATACTAAAGTAGAAAAACATATCTCTTTTGAAACTTCTTCTTCTTCTTTGGAGCCACTTTCCACAGAAATCCCAAGGCATGTGTTGATGCGCACATATTTATTCCAAAAAGAGATCTGTTTAGACGTTGGTGTGGAAAACTTTGCCCGGGGCATAGTACACCGAACCAGCGCACTGCTTGATTCAGGGGGCTAACGGCATCTTCATAGATCAGGTCTGGGTGTAGCAAATTGGACTCCCCCTTGTAAAACTAGATGTATCTATTCCCATCTATAACATTGACGGTATGCTTAATGCGAGTGGCTGCATTACACACAAATGTTCTTTTGTTGTTGAGTACCAAGGACATAGAGAACGAGTCACTGCCAAAGCTACCCAACTAGGGAATATTAATTTAATCTTAGGCTGGACCTGGCTATTTAAACACAATCCTGAGATCAACTGGCAGACAGGGGTTGTCACATTGTCACGTTGCCCTCAGGAATGTAAAAGTTTGGGTAAACTGAATCGCATCCGTCAAACTGAGTGTCTTGAAAAGATCAACGCTGGTCACGTTTATGAGCTCAGATCTTTAGAAAAGATCAATGATGACGATGACAAGGTGAAACCTGAGGAAGAGATTAAGTATTAAGAACAAGGCTTGAAGGAAGTGTCTAGCCACTTGCTGAGAGCAATCAGGGACTGGAACTAGAGTCCAATGTGAGTAACTTTATTATTAGAGAGTATGACAGGTATACAGTACCTAGAGTCCAATGTGAGTAACTAGAGAATAGGAAGCGTTGGACTCTGCAGTACTGTCCGAAGTTTTGTAAACAAAGGTAAACAAAGCAGCCACAAAGGCGAAATAATAGAGAACACAATCAATAGTGAATGATAGAAGAATAGATAGAGAAAGGAATGAAAATATATAGGTAGCACAAAGGTGCAGAATCACCAAAACTAACACTCCCCCCTGATGCTGCACCTCCCAAGCATCAGCTCCCCCCTGATCTAATAAGTCCCATCATCTTCCTGAACACTTCCACTTTAGGCTTGGCAAGAGCCTTGGTCAACAAGTCTGCAGGCACCTCAGCAGTGGGAACAAAGGTAGGAGCAATCTGCCCAGAGTCAACAACATCTCTCAACCAATGCCATCACAGATCAAGGTGTTTCATCCGACCATGGTGCTCAGGGTTCTTGGATACAGAGATGGCAGATTGGTTGTTAATATGAAGAGTGGAAGGAGAGGTGATAGGATAGCCCATTTCCTTCAACAAATTTCGCATCCAGCAAATCTCTTTGCCAGCCTCAACAGCAGCAATGTATTCTGCTTCAGTGGTGGACAGAGCAACAATGTTCTGAAGCTTGGAGCTCCAGGAGACAGCACCAGATCCCATCTTGACAATATAGGCACCAATAGAACGACCAGAGTCCTTGTCACCACCATGATCAGCATCAGAGAAAGTGGTGAAGAGTTCAGTGGAATTGGGATCAGGACCCAAGGACAAGGGAATGATCAAGGGTGCCTTGCAAGTAGTGGAACAAGTGCTTGACAGCGCTCCAGTGAGTAAGACCAGGATTAGAGTTATATCTGGCAAGGACTCCAACAGTGTAGGCAATGTCAGGACGAGTGGTAGTGGCCAGATACATCAGAGCACCAACAACAGCAAGGTAGGGAATGTCCTTCATCAAAGCAGCATCACTGGATGTTTTGGGAGACATGTCCTTGGTGAGGCGCAAACCAGGATCTATGGGAGTGGACACAGGCTTGCAGTCCTTCATGCCAAAGCGCTCCAGAATGTCCAGAGTGTACTGATGTTGGGAGAGGGAGATGGTGCGATTACTTGGGTCTCTAGTGATGGAAATGCCAAGTAGGTAAGAAGTAGGGCCAAGATCACGAAGCTTAAAGTGCAGGGAGAGGTCCTTGACAACTTGGTCAAGTGCAGAAGTAGAAGTGGATGCCAGTGTCATGTCATCAACAAAGACAGGCAGGATAATGCGCACATCAGCTCTGTTAAAGACATAGATGGCAGAGTCTGAATAAGTACACTTGAATCCGAGTTTTTCAAGCACAGTGTGCATCTTCTGGTTCCACATTCTGCCTCCCTGCTTTGTCCCATAGATGGCCTTGTCCAACTGGCAAACAAGATTGCGAGGACCCTGATGGAATCCCTCTGGCTGATGCATGTAGACCTTGACATCCATGACTCCATTCAGGAATGCATGGGAAATGTCAATGGAGCGCAAATGGAGGTTGTGGATGCCTGTAATGGCAAGGACAACTCTGATGGATGATATGCAGACAGTAGGTGCAAATATTTCGAGGAAATCAAAGCCAGGGCGCTGGTTATAACCTTTGGCCACATATCTGGCCTTGTAGCGCTCAACAGTGCCATCTGAGTTGCGCTTGATCTTGAAGACCCACTTGCCACCAATAGCCTTGACTCCAGGAGGTAGTTCCACTAGTGACCAAGTACCATTGCGCTCATGAGCTTGAAGCTCTTCCATGGCTGCCTCTCTCCATTTATCTGCATCAGGACGCTTTATTGCATCTGCAAATGACCTAGGCTCAGCAGAGTCTCCAAAGTGTGCCACTTCATCATCAACTGCCTCAGAATCACTGTCATCACTCTCAATGGCAGGAGTAGGTTGTCTGTGTTGAAGCCACCATGGTCTAGGTGGTCTCCTAGCCCTTACAGGGTGTCTCAGTGCAATAGGCAAGTCAGGAGAAGGTGAGCGATGAGGAGGGTGATTTGGAAGCTCAGGAGGTTGATTCACAGGTGGTTTTGCATCAAGGTCCAAATGAGGCCCATTGTCAGGCAATGGCTGAGGCTGCTGAAGCGCAGCTGGTGAGCCCATATCTCCCCCTGGACCTGGTGCAGGGACATCCTCAATCAGGCCCAATGGCATGGATAGCGAAGGTGGAGTGGGAGGTGGAGGCGGGACATTGTCAGAAGACCTCTTCAAGCCAGGGAAGTAGCGCTCATCAAAATCAGCTCTCTCAGAGATAACAGTGCGCTTGGTGGTAGTATTGTAGAATTTCCATCCCTTGTACCCCTCAGGGTAACCAATGAACACACATTTCTCCATATGAGAGCCAAAGACGCCTCTTTTGTCCTTTTGCACATGCACATAGGCAGTGCAGCCCCAAACGCGAAGGTGAGACATGTCAGGCTTGCGTCCATACCACAACTCAAATGGAGTGGCATGGGCCACTGCATCAGTAGGACACCTGTTCCAGACATGCACCAAAGCGGACAGACATTCACCCCAGAAGCTGTTAGGCAATGCAGACTCTGATAACATGGCAGTGATACGCTCAGTCAGAAGTCTGTTTGCTCGCTCTGCCACACCATTCTGCTGATGACGATTCCTGGTGGTATGCTGTCTGACAATCCCATGGTCATCTGTGAATTGCTCAAATTCCTTGGACATGTACTCTCCCCCTTTGTTATTGCGCAGAGCCTTGATTTTACGCTCCAATTGAGTCTCAGCATAAGCCTTGAATCTCTTGAAAGCATCAAAGACATCTGACTTGGCCTTGAGAGGCACAACAACACGGAATCGACTGTGATCGTCAATGAAGGTGACCCAGTAGCGATAACCAGAGAATGTGGGGGAAGAGATTTGGTGTACATCAGAATGGATGAGATCCAAAGGATGAGCAGAGCGAGTATCAGATGAGGGGAATGGATTGGCATGCATCTTGCCAGACAAGCACGGTTCACAGACAGGATCAGGAGCAGCCTTGGATTCCAGTGTAAGCCCAGTGACCAGATCTCTCTGTATCAGTCTCTTGACATCAGCATGATGGTGGTGAGCCAATCTGCGATGCCAGAGCATCAAATCAAGTGGTATAGTCGCAGTAAGATGTCCCAATTCAACACAAGCAGCAGTAGATCCATCAAGGAATGCTGCATTGTTGTCATTGATAGTTGCAGTGAACAAGAGAGTGTTGTCACGCATAAAGGACATGGAATGAGACGAAATAGTGACATTGAAACCACTTTGACGAGTTAAATACAAGACTGAGAGGAGATTATTTCGAAGATCTGGTACATGGAGCACTCTAGAGAATTCCACAGCCCTAGCCAATTTGCTATTCATCACAGGATTAAACACCACAGTACCAACACCAGCTGAATAGACAACAGTGTGATCAGCCAGCTTGATTGGCACACAATATGGGGTATAGTGGTGCATCCAATGACGATGAGGTGTCATATGAGAAGTGGCGCCTGTGTCTGCATTCCAATCAATGTCAGCATCAAGTTGGAGAGGGCAATGAGGATCAGAGGGATGAATGGAACAAAGACTTGCATTCCCAGCTGATTCAGTGACCACAGTAGATGAATTGGCATTGTTGGGCGAAGATTTGGGCTGCTGAGAGGTATTCTGAGAGTTGCTGGAGCCTGCCTAAGCCTTATTGCCACGCTTGTAGCGATTCTTAGCACCCTCCACTGCCTGTTGGCGACTAGCAATGTATCTGTGGCATTTGTCTTGGGTATGACCAAGTAAGCCACAGAAATCACACTGAACGCAAGTAGAGGTGGTGGATTGGTTGCAATGATGGCAGTTAGGATGGGTGCAGGTACTATTGGCAGTGGTAGACGAAGAATGCAAGGCAGAATCGACTTCAGCACAACGACGGCGATTGACTTCTTCAGCAAGGAAAGCATCCCTGAGCTGGGTCTTGTCCAAGGTGCCCAGAAGTAGTAGAGATGAAGTGAAGTGGGCATATTGATCAGGAAGCGCCCTAATCATGGCCATGCATGTCAATTCATCGTCCAATTCAGACAATGAGAAGCCAGTAGGACGAAGATTTTGAATTTGATGCATGCCTTTGTCAATTCTGGTCATGAGAGACTGTAGGGACTCGTCCTCCTTCTTTCTGATAGAGAAGAAGTTGTCATAGGCATTAAATCTCGTCCCAGGCTTTTTAGAGACGTGCACAATTGCCAGTTTCTCCCAGATCTTGACAGGATCATCAATGATGCCATCAAGATGGATGTGCTGCTCTTTGGTGACATTGAGGTATAATACACCAGCAGCCTTTTCAGCTCTCAACTCCCATTTCTCTATTGCTTCAGCGTCAGTCCCAGGACACTTTTCAGCGCCAGAGACGAGCCTCCACAGTCCCTTGGTCATCAACCAAGCTTGCATTTCACCACTCCACTGGGGGTAGTTAGTGCCAGACAAGGGATGGAACTTGGGATCAGAGTCAGACATGATGGGTGTTGTATAAGATAATAGAGCAATGATAAATGATGTAGGAGACAGCTATAGGCTATGGAATAGTGGCAAAGACAATGGGCAACAGTAGGAGGCGAGCAGATAAGATGGTGAGGCAGTAGAGAGAGGATATGGAGAGGGTCAGAAAGCGCAAGGATAGGTCCAAATAGGGCCCAAAAAGTGTCCAAAAGCAATCCAGGAGGGTGCTAAGGCTTCCTAGTGCTGCTACAGGGTTACGCCTGTGTTCCCCTTTCAATT